AAGCAACATGCAACACCATTTTCACCAACAGCAATGTTCCCTTTTGGACACTTTCTTAAAGATAATTCTTAATTGATGGAAAAACTTGGCGGTAAAGGATTCAACCGCATTGGTAAAAAATAAGTTGGGTGGCCACAGTTAGCTGGGATGCTAAAATGATTGATAATGATCAAAAAACAGCTAGATTTGGTTTGATTTTGCAAAACGCCTTAGTACCTCATTATGTTTTTGTTGTGTTTTCTGGTATTAAAAAAGTATTGATTTATGCTTGCTTTAATGCAGCAATAATTGCATTGTTGAATATCTCGGGAACATTAAAATACTGGTTATCAGCAATTTCCATCTTGTGTAAAAAATACAATGGCCCAAGTGCTCCATTCCTAATTAAATTGGCAATGATAAGAGAGTCCTGGTGATTGTGAAGGAGCTTGTACTGAGATTTGTCTTGAATATCAAGCCAGTAGCCTTTCAGCTTATGATTATTAGAAGCTTTCACTAGTTTAGATGGATTCTGCACAGTGTAAAAGAGCCAAAAATACTCATCCTCTGACTCAGTACAAACTGGTAAAATGATCCCTTGAGTTTCAGAGGAGTGCTGAATATTGGCACCAACAGCAAGCCAGGCATCATCATCAAAGAAATTGGAGCATTCACTCAGCAGTAGTCTTTCATCTTGGTCAAGAAATAATTCTGCTACTTCTACTTCCTCTTCTGATATTTTGCTGGACATTCTCACCACTCTATCAGCACTTTGTCTCTCTACCACCTTGGATAGGAGGGCAACCATTSCTGACGTATCATGATGAGTTGCAGTTGAATTAACAGTCCTGCTATTACTTCTTTCAGGATTGTCCTTTGCTTGAATCACGAACTTTATTTTTTCTTTGTTTTCCATTATAGCTTTTAGCTGATTCATGCCATAATGGAAAGGCCTTTACAGTAAATCCCCCATGCAGATATGGAACTCTGCTGCCTGGCTTATGTATTGCTTCACCTGTAAAGGAAAATAATGAGATTACTCCAAGAGCATGATGATCCCTACACATACCCGTTTGTCCCTATTCACAATTCATGATATGAGATATGCTTTGCTTGTCACGCACAAAGGTTTCAGTATGAGGCTACGTGCTAAATTAAATTAATCCTTACCACCTGTYACGAATAACTGAGCATTTCCCATGTAGCCTCATACTGAAACCTTTGTGCGCGATAAGGGAAGCATATCTCGGAAGTGGGCTATTAAGCCAATGTTTTGTTTTCAACTTTCGCATATTGATAGTAAGGTTTCACCCCATTCTTCAATACAGTATCTTAAGGAAATTGTAATATGATTAAACAGTAATACCATGAATTATCAATACTTTTTCACTTACTGTATTTAGAATTAAAYAGCTCSTGAACATTTTTGTATGTGTATCTCTCATCACTACATACTAAAGGACAAATGAAATGTATTAAATAAGTATAGGTTTACTATACCTAGATAGATATATAACACAGGATTGTGTGGTCTATGACTAAAACAAACATGCTTAATGGAAACCATGTAACTATCAAAATGTATAGGAAAACATATATATTCCAAACACTTTTGGATATCCAATGATGTTATTGACCGAGCTTTAAATTACCAAGCTATAAATTTTGGAAATAAACTGTTGGTAAACTTTCTTTTATATATACCTACACAGCTCTAGCTACATTGTTTTTTGTGGTTACTATGACAACTAATGAATAAGGGTGTGATGTTTTTGAGGAAGTACCCAAATTGAGGGTAATTTTGTTAAGATTTGAAGGAAGTATGGATACAGTCGTTTTAAATTTATACCTACCAAAGTGATCTCTGAATTTGATGTTAATCTCAGGATTTAGGGACAGAAAAGACAATCCTGCACTTGATCCAAAGTTGTAAACCTGGCCAGAAGTGTCTTTAAAAACAATGGAAGACTCACATCCCATGTCTTCGAGAAACATTATCTGAAATATTACACACAAAAAAGTGTTTCTACAGTATGCTGAGGTTACCAAATCAAACGCCCTTTGGCGAACTCGTGGATACTTGTTGCACTTTTCGAAGATTGGTCTTCCTGTGCCCCCTTTATGCTTGTTGACATTCTTAAACGGATTCCAAATATTTCGCTCGATTTAATATTTTGAATGCTCAATTTATCTAGTAAGATGAGTAATCGTCCTTATTATTTTCCTTTTAGCATCTAGTTCTTCGCTAGTTTGTTGAGTTTGGAATTGAAAATTGTCTGAACTTCAATTAATACGAAAGACGACTTCGACTACGACTTCGCGATAGAGTCAACTGAGTCAAGTATAGATCGAGTACAATTGGAAGAAGATATATTTGAAAACGCTTTCTCTGTTTTCAGTTTCAAAGCGGGCTGTGTGTTTATTCCAGGAATCATTCGACCTACGAGCTCAAAACTGAATATACAAGATAATCGACCGTTTATGATACAATCGGGACGATCAACATAAAGCGTTGCGTTATGCGTGTTGATTTACATTACTGTTTATCTTGACCTTCAGGGGTCACGGCTCCTACTTCAAATGAAACTATTTATTTACACTGTGAACTAAGCAAGTATTTTATAGAAATACATTTAGAAATGCTATTTATTTCGTCTTCATCCAAGTCGGTAAATTAATGATTATTTATTGGAACGAATTCTCGTTTAGACCTTCGCATATTTCAACATACAATCTGAGCATTGCTTCGGCTGTTTGTAATCTTGTAATGCGTGGCGATCAATCTACTTTTTATTCTGAACGGCTTATTTAAATGACAAAACTGGCCGAACTTCCTTCAAAACTCCATTGGAATTGTTCTTTTTTTCGTCTTTTACTATTTTTTACGATCTACGTACATCTACATTGATTATTTTCTTAAGAAGTCACTTAGTAAATACAACTGTTGATCAGTAATATTAAAACTTCGCTCGATCGAGTTTGTGAGATTTTATTCCTGAATACCGCCGTGACTTTGAGCTGTCTGTATGGAGAATAAAGTCCTCCAGAGCTTGAAATCAGACTCTCTTCTTGAGTTCTAATTAAAATAACTTTTTTCGATAACCGGCTCGATCTACGAGTCTTCTGAAAAATCACGTTGTACCTAATAAGCGTGTTTGTTTACTTTTTAAAATACATTAGAAAAAAAGGTCTAAGTCATTGAAATTTTATTTCAGGTGTTAATCGTATAATTTTACTTCAACTTGCATCTTTCCTTGATTCTTTTAATATGAATAATTCGAAGATAAAACTATATGCGAGTGTGCACATGAACAGTGGGCCCCCACGGCGTCTACAAGTGCTAGAAACTGATCCCACATGGAACATCAGCATTTCGTTTCCTCATATAAAATAACAAAGTAATCTATATGGTATAAGAGCTTTGTGCTTGCTAGTGTCGTGTAACATTAGTAATCAAATGACGTAAGACGATCGCTAAACGTTTAATTATCGATCTGCTAACATCTTAGTGAGCGAGTAAGCGAGTGAGTGAGCGAGTGACACATTTGCATATTCAGACCCCTCACAATAACTCGTTTCTACGCTTCGCGTATCCACGAGTTAAAAAAGGATTTGGGCCGCAGAAGAATTTTGATTGTAAATGATTGTAATGCAATCTTGAATGTTACTTCATCCAAAAGACTAAAATAAGAAATCTACTTCTATTTATATTCAGCCAAACATCTGTACATGTAAGTTATTAATTTTTCTGACGTTCATGTAATTTTGATTATCAGTCAAGAGGTGACTTATAATACTGTTTACAGGACTTTGCGGTCTGAAATTCATTATGTAATTTCTGAAACCTTATTACATACCTCTCTGAGGAGATTTTTTCTGTGAACAGATATTAGCTTTGATTTTTGAGCCTCGWTTAGCTCTGAAACATCTGGAGACTTTAAACTGTCTGCATTGAGTTTATATTTCTCTTTCTCTGCAGAAGTCATTTCCTTCCACTTTTTGGATGCTTCTTTATTCTTTTCAGGCAAAGACATTTTCCTGCATTCATCTAAAGAAAAGTTAATAATATTTATAATTAATTAAGGTTTATGTGTATTATTGAAATACACGCCTGGAATGTTTAGCTATACTACTTATCTTACTATTATTTACTTGCATCTTCTCTTTAAAACTAGCTAAATTCAATATTGCTTGCAGCATTGTATTCAGGACAGATTAGTAGATTTGTACTAAAACTATTAGATCTCAAAAATACACTCACATGGTCTACATGTGTGATATAAAAGCCCATTCAGACATTGGCCTCAGGTGCTATTGACTACTACACCATGCATGTGGACTTTCGGTATAATTGTCAATTATTCACCTTGAAACAATAGGACAATATGGCAATATGTGGGCAATAAAATTGGCAATCGTTTTGTGAAGATAAAACCCAATTATTCCTTTTGTCTAGCTTTTAAATTCCTGGCCATAGTTAGAAGGGAATGGTTAGGAAACCCTTTTGTTATAGGTCTTTGTTCACTTTTTTTTCAAGCGTGACTGTGTACAATCCTTTGTTTTACCACTGTTTTACTATGCATTGTTGGCAATGATGGCTGAGACCAAAATCTTTCTTTTGGCTGCTAGTTCAAAATGCATGTTAAGAATCATGCATGCACTTTTTCATGCTTCTTGTTTTCAATAACACACTACTGCTTGTCACAAATGTTTCATTGATATTATTCACAAGTATCATAGGCTAGTAAGCTGTTGAGTACTGACCTGACTTGAAATATTCTGCACAAAACATGTTATAGGAATGTGAGCCACGTGATCCAGTGGGTATCTTGATTGGCTTTGGAGCTGGCTGGCTCCCAGTACTAATCTTTTCCTTTTGTCTGGCATTTCCAATCCACTTCTACAAGTATGATATATTTAAATTCATTAAAAACTACTCAGATTGCATATATACCTTTTCCCTCCCCCTCCTCCCCCCATTTTCACCAGGTAATAAGTTACATTAAAAGACATTTCTTCTTTTACATGCTCGTATTTCGAATTCCTCCCTCGCATTTAGCTGTTTTGTTATTTTTAAGAAAAGAGATTTTTTGTTTTATTGGCTTTCGACTGCTTCAGTACGAGCCAGATGATCGTTGAAGATTGTTGAAGATTCCAAACTCGACAACTTTTTTTACTCTTTGCCAGATTTTTATCAACATGGTACTCTTTTATAGGAACAACAATTGTTAAAGGAAAATTTGCTAGTGTATCAAAATACGCTTTGTTTTGAGGTCAGTTTGGCGTATATCCCCACGTGCCATTATTATTCAGCTTAACAATTGACCCGTACCTTCAGGAAAAATGACTTTGTTTCATACAGTAAACTAAGTAAGGGATGGAATCGATTACAAATACAATGATATAGCTATGAAATGTTGGGAATAAAATCAGTTTAAATGCCTAATTTAAGACTCGAACAAAGTAATATAACTCACCTTGACTTGCTCAATACTAAGTCCTGTTTCTTCGGCTGCCTTATCGATTTTGTCGCGATTAACGGAAGCGCATGTTTTCATGCCGTCATCATAAAACTCCTGTAGCTTTGATCTCTGAACATCGTTAATTTTGTTGTATGTTCTTTTGCGATTTCTACTTGTATTGCTTTCGGCCATGATACATCGATTTATAATACAGTGTAGTAGCGAGAATCAAACCTGGACTTTGTCTCTTCTAGTCCACAGACAACGCGGAGATTTGATTGGTC